TCATGACACTATCATCATCAAAATTGAGCCTTTCCAATGAATGTAAACTTTACCCATTCATATCGGGCTATTAAGTTTCACCTTCTTAGATATAACACAAGCACATGGGAGACCATAGATTTTCACAAGTGTGCAACCACACTTTTAGCTATATGAACCTACATTATCAGCTCTTTTGGCTTCGTGAAAAATATAATTCAGAGCTGCTCAATATATATTGTCGACCAACTAAGAATATAGAGTGTTGTCTTTGAACCCGTGTTCCAACACTGTGATTCTATGACCAAATTATGTTTGTATCTTATTATGCTCATTTTGGACCATTTGCTTCACAGAATCTCAATCTCTCTACGCAAATCACCCTTACTATTTCCCAACCAATTATTCAAAGTAGCATGGACAGACTCAACTCGATTTGTTATTGTATTTCTAAGGTGTCTAACCTGATCGGTCCAAGCACATATAATATTCTTCTTAATCTGGTCCAAAATTGTACTTTCAATATATTTCAATAAATTTGGATATTTCTCACACACTTTTATGAATTTTATAACAACATCGCCATATAACTCTTTTGTAGAAGAATTTATTATAACATTCAAGCTTTTATTATTTTTCCACTATGACGCATTCCTTAACCATTTTCCATCTTTGCACTCTCTGCTTTGACCCTACTGCAACTTTAACACGACTTCTCACATTCTTTGTTATGTGACACTTACAAAGTAATCCATAAAAGTAGGAAATATCTTTGCAACCGAATTCATGAAAGTGATATCACGATCGATAATAATTACTTTAGGCATTTCTTCTTGGTCCTTCAACATTGTCCGACACACCTCTAAAGCCCAAGTAAAATTCTCCGATTTTTCGCACTCTAAAAATGCAAACCCGATATAATAAGTCTTCTCAGTAGAGGTAACACAAACAATTTCGAATAATAAAAACTTATAGGTTGAATCAATGATGAGCACATTGGGAAACACGTTGAACAACTTTATGGAATCATGATGAGTCCAAAATATATCTCTAACGGCTACTCCATCCCCGCACGTTCAGTATCTAGATACATAATTGTTATCATCTAAAAGTTTCAAGAGGTGTTGCATTTCAGTTCTATCCCCCTTAAGCGCTCTGTTAGTTTAGTACTAGATATTATACACTTGCCTGATATTTGCGATATTTCTGGGTATTTTACACTTCAAGGTTGTAAGTATGTTTTTCGGTTGCACCAAATTCAATATCATGTGTTGTACACTTCTCTTCTGACATGAGGCGACATACAATTGGACGAGCAACTAACTTTTCACACAAATCATGGTTATGTAAATCACATATCATATTAAATCTCCATTTGTCATTTATCAACCGATAACCACACAATTTAAAGGGACACTCACATTTTCTTGAACCAATTTTATCTCGTTTGAAATTTCATAGAGAAGGTATATATTTTCCACTTCTTTCGCATGTCAATGTCACAAATACACCTCTTCTATCTGAACCATTATCATACCTTCCGATTATAACACCAAACTCCAGTTTGGATGCATCTGTACGAATCCAATGAAGCATATGATCAAGAAATTCAAACTTTTGTTCATTTTTAAATTGGTTGCCAATATCGACCCCCTTCACAACTACACGTGAAGCATCTAGAGACACAATAGGTTTGAACCATATCTAATGAAAACAGAAACATAAAATACTTAGAAACATCTAAAACATTAAACGTAATGCTAGAAAATTAAAATAGATAGCTTCCAGAAATGCATCTCTGGACGAGTTTATCCATAATTCAGAGATACATTTTCAGATACATCATAACATTTTTCAGCTACAAAGCATGATTAATGTGAGCAACGAAACTTGAAAAGAATGAACTTTACCTTGAATTCCAACTTCTTTTGTTCCTTTTGATTTGATGAAACACAAGAATAAAGATTTAGAGTGAAAATCTTAATTGAGAATGGAAGAGTTTTTGGAAAGAGTTTATAGAAAAAATGGATATGAAGTCTGATCATGCAGGTTGCTGTTTTTAGCAATAACACATTTGATTTTTCCAATGACGCGTCTTCAGAATAATCTAACATGCAAAAGTGATAGATTTTTCCGCTCTAAATATTCGAAGATATATTAGATACTATTCAACATAGATGTATCTCCGGGAAAAAAAATTATTAGCCTGTAGAATGAAATGTGTCCGAAATTGTATTTTTAAAAATTGAAGGGCATTTTTGATTTTCTATAGAGTTTTTTTCCACCTCATAAAATAGACTAAAAAATTCCCTTTTTCATAGATCATATCTCAATAAAACACAACATTATTGCTTAAGTCCATTAAAAAAATCCAACATAAAAAAGTTAGTTCAATAGGTGAGAAAACTCCATAATTTTTTGAGTTCGGCATTCAAAATTTTTTCAATTCAAATGTTTGACTGATATTAGTGAGACATGCATTGAATTATTTTTATGGGGGGAAATTTTTGATATGGTTCCTGAAAGATTCAAACTAGGGACTTTATCAATAAAATCAACATCACTTGCCACTTGATTGATTGTATTTTGTTGAACAATAATTACATTAAATTGTATATAATAAAACTTTAATTAATATTATTTGGTTTATAACCGTATTAAAATAATAATATATTTATAACTAATTTTATAATTAATTTATATTTAAAAATTTTAAAATATTTTTTCATAAAAATATTGTTTTCTAAAAAATTTTAAAAAAAAATCATATTTTTAATTTTTCAAAAAAAAAATTACATTTTCTTAAAAATAAAAAAAAATAGTAGATATTAGGGTTATCATTTCTAAAGATATTAGGGTTAAAAAATCATATTTTAAAAATTCCATCAAAATAATTTTTGTTGCCAGTAATGTCGCTATTGCATCAAAATATATGTTGCATCAAAATATATATAATAAACGAAAATTATTATTTAATTATTGTTAATATATTTTAAGAAAAAAAGTGATGAATTGACAGTATAAAATAATTTTATACTGTCAATCAATCACAACTATTTATCCAATTATATCTTATTTTATTTTAATATTTTTAATAATATGGTAAATTGTTAATAAAAATCAATCACAACTATTTATCCAATTATATTTTATTTTATTTTAATATTTTTAATAATATGGTAAATTGTTAACTTTTTATTGATTGATTGTGTAAAAAAAAATTACACTAACAGTATATAAAAATTATTCTCTATATTTTAATATATTTTACTGAAACATGATTTAGAAAAACATATAATATGACTTTTTTATTTTATTTTGAGAAGAAAGTATTTCTTTTACAAAAACTGAAAAATACATTTTTATTTTTTTATTTTGGGGAAAGAATATTTTTAATTACTATGCACTTGTCAATATACAGTCGGTCAGTATATCACAACCATTCATAAAAATTATTTTATAAATAATTAAAATAAAAGTCAACTTTTAATAAATATTTAATGGCCCTAATATCTACTATTTTTTTTAAGAAAAAATATTTTTTTTTAAAATTAAAAATAGGATTTTTAAATTTTTTTTAGAGAATAATATTTTTATGAAAAAATATCTTTAAAAATTTAAATATAAAACTAGTTATAGATATATAATTTTTTAATACGGTTATAAATCAATTAATATTAACTAATGTTCTATTATATACAATTTGATGTAATTATTGTTCAACGAAATGCAATCAGTCAAGTGATAAGTGGTGTTAGTTTTATTGTTAAGGTCTCTAGTTTGAACTTCCTTTGATCAAATAATTTTTTTCTGACTTTTAAACAAGAACAATCAAACTCAACAAGATTCTCAATCCAACTCAACAAGATTCTCACGATATGGGATACTACAAATAGAGTCTTTATTTTATAAAAGTAGAATCACAAAAAAAAAATACTTAAGAGAAAAAAATAAAACTCACCCTATTGATAAGGGGCCGTGTATATTTAACCATTTATTTTTTATTTATTTTCTAATTATTCATAATTATAAAGAGTATCTTTATATTAATAAAATCTATATAATTAATAAACAAAAATCATTAAAATTACAATTTTTGTTCTCCATTTGTTCCAATTTAACAAAACTATATTAATAGTTTTTATTTGGTTAAAGTTACAGTTTTTGTATTCTTATTTTAGTTTATTCAAGAAACCACTCCTCCTATTTTATTTTTAAATAGTTTTAGTCTTTTTTCTGATTTTTGGTCCAAAAAATGATGATGTATTATTTTTTTTAATGATATAAAAAATGGTTTAATGACGTGGAGCAATCTAGGTGGATTAATAGACTTACATGACATTATTTAATAAATTGTTTTAGTAAATTAATTTATCATTTAAAAAAAAAATGTTACCAAAGAAATCTCCTACATCTTGTAAAACTCATTAATCCATTGAGATCTTAAATTAACTCATGGTTGATTTTGAAAAAATTAAGTTGAAAGTGCAAATGATCCTAATTAAATTAGGAAAAAAATAACAATGATTAACAAAGTTGAAAGTACAAATGATCCCATGATTTACAAAGTATCAAATCACAATGTACACACTACCATGACATATCAACAAGAAACAGATGTTCAAAATACATAAGTTATTTAGGTAAATTGATAAAATACTCTATATTTATTTTGATAAATAGTGGTTGAAGTATAGTATGCATGGATTCTGGGGGGTATGCACCATTTGGGTGGGACAGACAAGCATTGGCTCTGGTTGTATTAAGTAAACCCTTTTTTCAATTAGAGTGACAAATTGAGAGAAAAAACTGATCACACCTTAGTTCCAAATTGTGTAATTTGACCTATAAGAATTGGTGGTTATTAATTATGACGCTACCTAACTATAATTCCTGACAAAATATATTAGAATTAGAAATTAACAACTGGAATAAACAGAAGTTAGAATTATAGTTTACCAATGTCAACTCTAGGTATAAGTCTCATTCAGAGCTAAGGATGCCTTTCAGAGGTGTGTCCTCTAAAGCTGGATGGATGTTCCTATATGTAACAACTTAACAACAAGTAGTAAGTTTATTCCAATTCCATCTAAAAAAGTAATGGCAAGTTTTACAAAATTAAAACTTTGTATTTTCGGACAACCTTCTAATGATGCAATTCCATCACTGCTTCCTGCCACAATTTGTTGAGAAGAAGCAGTAGCATGTTTGTCCAAATTATGCAAACGCAAATGTGACCAGAAGTTGATCCTACCTCAACTGATACTAATTCAACCAAATCTGAACGCACCGAGTCAGGTTATCCGTATTCTCTCGTTGCAACGTTGAACTCACCCGTCTTAAACAATGCATCACCATGTTCTCCTATCGTCAATAGTAGAATTTAGTTTCATAAGTGAAACCATAACAACTCTCATTCACGGACATCTATTTTGCGAGAAATAAGTACATAAGCATTTCTGCATAAATGTGAAAGGTAAAATCAAAATAGAGAATCATTTCATTATATGGGACCATGTATGTGGTTCTTTATCATCCTCTCACCTACATGCATATAAAGCACATAAATACAAGTATTAAAGCCGTTAAAGTTCACCTACCAAATAATGCAGTCACCTTTATGTTTGCAGAAACAGAAACATAAACTCAAACTGAAACAGAAACATAAAATAACAATATTGATATTAAGAGGAGTAGCCATGTAAAAATAGCCCAGGTAATCACCAATGAAAATAAAGAGGACATATCCATATTCACAAAGGACCGGTTGGTTTACACTTGAACACCACATTTCTTAAAAAAATCCAATGCCTCCTTGGCCAATCCAAAATCCCCTAATAGAAAAGTATTAACACATTTTACAGATTTAATTTGTGTTCTTTTGTCCACAACTTCAACATTCTCACTAAGTTGACTACTCCAGGTCAGTGATAACTACCTCTTAATTAAAACAAAAATAGTGAAATAAACATCACTTAGTTAGACATGCTCTAAAATGGAAAACACAGCAAAAATCAGCACGACTTTACGCTCGTATGAAAAATGCTTAAACTCTTCATCATGGTTGCAATTGGAATAATAGCATTTCTCAACTCAAATGAACACAACAGGAAAAAGGTAGAACAAAAAGCACACATTCATATGTGAACATACCCTTCAGGATCAGAGTGTACCACTGAGAGATTCAAATCGTGGGTCGCGTACAACCTGAAAATTTATGAAGACATGCATAGTTCAGTAAAACTCATCCAGATATAATGATATATCAAAAAGAAAGATCATATACATATCCATGCTCCTTTTCAAGTTCAAAGAAAATCAATGGAAGTGAAATGTAAATTAAAAATAAACCTTAAACGTTTATCTTAAAATCCATAGTTCATCCTAAATGTAAATTAAAAATAAACCTTAAACGTTTATCCTAAAATCCATAGTTCATCCTTTTGTTGGATTTAGAAGCACTAATACGGTGTTTTACCACACCGCGATCCATAAAACTTTGGCTTTGTGTCGCAAAGGCGGAAGATCTTGGATTCATCACTGCTGCGGAAATTTAATATAATATGTCTAAAAGTTATTTCAAGCAGTACTTGTAGCCTCTCTAGACATGGAGTTTAAAATCTAATCAAAACGAAATGAACAACAGAAGAACAAAAACCTTAATTCTATAGCACAAACCTCAGGAGAAGACTTATTACTATGTTGTTGCGACAACTCAACTTTCGATTTCTCATGCGTAACAGCCCCAAACACACAATATTTGTCTCCCCAACAGAAGATGTGAATGCCAACATTTTGAAGTCTCTTCTTCAGCTCTAGAAACAATAGATGACCAAAACCCTGTAGGATATTAACCAATAATCAACTAATAAACAACTAATAAACCTTATTTAAGAGCGTAAACAATAATTATATATTGTGAGCACCTAAAAATGGACAACAAATTAAATGAGTTGGATAATTTGGAAGTATCATAGAACCACCAAGCAAACACAACTTCTCTTCAATTTCATTATGTCAGTTATATCAAAAAAGATAAACCCAAAGCTCTAACCTTAATCCATCATAATAAACTCAAGATACCAAAAAAATAGGGATACAAAAACATGACTTTAGGTATGACATTTTCACCTTGAAGCATCGACATTTCTGTAAACGAATCATCCTGATTCCTGCTACAAATGCGTTCTTCTTGGAAGCACCTTCCCCTAAACCGTTTGGTTAAGCCTGTTGAGTTCTTTTCGCGATAACTCCTAGCCCTAACATCTAAGAAATTAAAACACCGAATTATTCCAACAAAAATCTTCAATTGCAGTTTGCAAAAGAATATGTTGTTTTCGGATTTTAAAATATTTGTCACCGAAGAAATTATCAGGTTGAGATGCGGACTATATCCTCTCTTTAAGACGTTTTGCGACACGGTTCAAAATTATGCAAAGCAGTTAAACTACCGCGCTGCCCTCCAGGATAAAACAACGTTCTATACTGTACGATTACTACCTGCATGGTAGATAATCTAGAAATACATATTTTGATGGTTCATAACCATTCAAATATTGTATCAATATCACTCATAGTATATGGTAAAAAGACTAGTCGAAATAATTTCTCAAACAAAGAGAAATTCAAATGATTTTCCAAAGAGAATTTAATAATAGTCATTCGACCACTCATAATAATTTCTCCAACAAAATAAATTCAAATAATTTTCAAAAGAAAATCTAAAAATTAATACTTGAAAATTTCTCAACTTAAATGAGGAGAAATTAACACAATTCTCTAAAGAATTCAAAAAAATACTTGGAAAATTCAACGAGTAGGAAGAAAGGGGAAGAAGATGACGCTTCGACAATTCGAGAGACGCAAAGTTATGAGAGTGAGGAAGGAAAAACTAATAGAATAGTTTTTGGTGTAATTTAGAATGAAACATGTGCACTCCTTATATAGTGAAGTAAGCTAGTTAATATTTCTCACATGAGCAATGTGGAACTAAATGGTTTTTTCAACCAAAAAGATATTATAACAATGTGGGACTTAGAGAAATTTTTAAATTCAACATATTGAACATGAAAATGTTCCAACAATTCCCCACTTGAATTTAAAAAATTGATTTTAGAAGTAACGTCAAACGTTTCTAAGATTGTGCATAAACAAAGATGTCCACGACTTGAACCTTTGCATAGAATGTAGGATTCCAATTCAACAAGAGTAACACAAATGTCTTGAACTCCATCTCAGACATCAAACCCGCACACAATCTTTTTTTAAGGTGTATTCTAATAGTTCGTGTTTTAATGGCCCTGCACGTGTATCTGGGTTTAGTGAAGACTCTAGGAATTCTATCTCGCAATTCTATAGAAACCGACCCAAGTTCCACAATCACAAAGGTGAGTCTATCAAGAGTACACCTGTAGCTTAGGTACTCCCTCATATAGAGTATAAATCTCATTAAGAGCTTTTATTATCTCATCCTCTTATTACTTCAGGATTCATGCTTTAATTGTATGATCATCTAATATTACTCACAACTTGTTATTACCCATTGAACCTATTTCTCGAGATCTCCAGTCATCTAGGTCGGGTTACCATCATGAGCAACTCATTTCTTTATAGGAATTAGTCCCGTCTTCTTGGATGTATTATGGACTTTCTCTCTAGCTAATCGTTTCGTCAAAGGATATGCTAAGTTTTCTCCAGTGCATACATGATCCACTCTTACAGCTCCTTTAGAGATACAGTCTATGACATTGTTGTGCTTTCTTCTTATTTGACGTCTTTTACCATTATAATAACGGTTCTCAATTTTTGCAATAGCCACAGTACTATCACAGTGGATCAATATAACATGCATAGATTTTTCCCATAAAGGGATATCGGCTAGAAAGCATCTCAACCAACTTGCTTCTTAACTAGTTGTGGTTAGTGCTATCATCTCAGATTCCATTGTGGACTGAGCTAGAATAGTTTGTTTCTTTGATTTTCAAGATACAACTCCTCCAACTATACTAAATATATAGCCACTAGTAGCTTTGAAATCATCTGACAAAGTATTTTAATATGCATCATTGTACCCTTCTAGTATAGCATGAAACTTCTGATAATGTAGGCCGAGATCCATGGTCCTTTTGAGGTACCTCATGACTCGTTCAATAGCTTGCCAATGCTCTTTACTCGGTCTACTCGTAAACCTGCAGAACAATCCTACGACATATGCAATGTCGGGTCTAGTACAATCAGTGACATACCTAAGACTTCCAATGATGCTCGCATGTTCTGATTGTCTGACACTTTCTCCAGTGTTCTTAAACAGTTTCACACTTGGATCATATGGTGTGCATGCAGGTTTACAGTCAAAGTATTTATATTTCTTTAAGATCTTCTCTACACAGTGTGATTGATCCAAAGAAATTCCTTGTTCAGATCTCGTGATCTTGATACCAAGGATCACACTTGCTTCTCCGAGATCTTTCATATCAAAGTTGTTGCACAACAGTGATTTCACATCATTAATGGTCTGAATATTTGATCTAAATATGAGTAGATCATCTACATAGAGACATATGATAGTGCATATGCGATTCTCAAATTTATAGTAAACATATTTGTCACTTTCATTCACTTTGTACCCATTTGATATCATTAAGTTATCAAATTTTTCATGTCATTGCTTAGGAGCTTGTTTTAGTCTATACAAAGACTTATCTAACTTACAGACCTTGTTTTCTTGTCCATAGATCACAAACCCTTCTGGTTGTTCCATATAGGTTTCTTCTTCTAAGTCACCATTTAAAAAAGTTGTTTTAACATCCATTTGGTGTACTATTAAGTTATAAATAGCAGCTATTGAAATAAGTACCCTAATGGATATAATTCTAGTGACGGGAGAAAAGGTGTCGAAGAAATCTATATTTTCTCTTTGTCTAAAACCCCTGGCAACAAGGAGAACCTTGTATTTATCAATAGTTCCATCAGGTTTTAGTTTCTTTTTCAAAACCCATTTACAACCGATTGGTTTGCAACCAGGAGGCAAGTCTACTAAGTGCCAAGTCTTGTTAGATTCTAGAGATTCTATCTCATCATTGATAGCTTCTTGCCATAAATCAGCATCCAGAGACGACAAGGCTTCTTGAAGATTCATTGGATCTTCTTCTATATTATAAGCCGCATAATCAGGCCCATAGTCTTTAGCAACTCTTACTCGTTTACTTCGTCAAATTTTTGTTTCTACATTGTCGTTGTTTTCTGTGCTTCTTATCACAGGAATGTGACTCGATTGTGTGCCCCCACTATTTCTCAATTTGAAAGGAAATTTGTCTTCATAGAATTTAGCATTATTTTATTATATGATCACTTTTACCTTTAGGTCATAAAACCTATATGCTTTATTGTTTGCTGCATACCCAATGAATACACATTCATAGACTCTACTAGCGAGTTTAACTCGCTTCGTATTCGGAGTTCTGACATAAGCCAAATAGCCCCAAGTTCTTAAATAATACAAGTTTGGTTGTCATTTCTTTAATATCTCATAAGGTGAGATCTTACTTTTTACTTGGAAACTCGATTCAGGACATAACAAATAATCAACAAAATTCCCCCACTAGTGAGGTGCAACACTAGAATTCAACATGATTGCAACAAGTTCATTAAGAGTTCTATTCTTTATTTCTACTTTACCATTCATTGCAAGATAGTATGGTGAGGTCGTTTCATGTACAATTCCATATATAAAATTCATTAATAAACTATAATCATATAGTTTCTCTATCACTACAAATTCTTATCATATCATTTTCAAATTCTTTACAAAAATTTTAAACATATAAACTTCATTCTTTGTAATGGCGTACAAATCTACCCCAACAGACTGACTAAACCCTGTCTTATTTAAAAGAAAACCAGAAACAATATTCTTTCTAATCTTAGGAACATGCATAACGTTCTTTAAGATTAAAGTCTTTTTGAAGGTGAAATTTAGCTCCATGTCTACAATTCCAACAACATTCGTGGTCTGGCCATCTCCCAACAACACTTTCTTATTTTTAGTATTCGTGTATGTTTTAAACATAACACGATCATAAAAAACACAATGAGAGACGCATGTGTCTATCCACCAACCAACATATCCACCAACCATGTTGATTTCAATTACTATAGCAATAAATTGCCCATTAGTCAGGTTGACCCGTGCATTAGGAACAACACCAAGTTCAAGCTTACTTCTACATTTCTTAGTCATATGACTTGATTTTCTATAGTTAAAATAAAGGGAAACCAACGTCATTTCTTTTAGGTGGTGGTTGTTGCCTAGTTGGAGCTATTGGGATCATATAAGGGTTCCCATTCTTAATTCGGTTCACAATATTACGATTCTGATTCTTTAATTATTTGCCAAATGGCTTCAGAACTACACCGAATTTCTTTTTGTTTGAAACAAACAAAACTTTTTCTTTTTGATATTGTCTCTAAGATTTCCTTTTTTTAACTCAAGGCGAATAATCATATTCTCAATCAAAAATTATTTTGTTTTGTGGCGAAGCAAAGTTTTTTTTTTAAACATTCAAACTACGGGGTAGTTTGCCAATAATAAAATCAATTTGAAATTGTTCATTTAAACACATACCTTTTGTGATGATCTTTTAAGCAATCTTTTGAAGTTCATAACATTGAGCCTCTATCGACCTTACATCTTTGTATTTGATACTTGAAGTAGCGGCTAACAACATACTTCTTTGCTCCATCTTCTACGTCATACTTCTTTTTCTGAGTCTCTCAATCTTGTTTTGTAGTATCACATCAACTGTAATTATCATACAGATCATCTGCGAGTCTATTCAAAATATGATTTTGTAGAGATTTTCATTCTCTTTCTATAAGGTAATTTCTCTTCTATGCTGTAAACCGTTTGCTATAATCTGTGCAGCAAATTTAACTTCAACACTATTAAGTGTTCCTTCTAAATCTCCAGATTTACTACCGTTAGTTTGTTCAATTGATCCAGAAGGAGCAACAAAATATCATCGATCAAAATGTTAGCAACTTTTTTCAATGTTAAGAACTCCATCTTTTGTTGCCAACGTTTGAAGTGACTTCCCTCAAACATGAATGATTTCTCAAAGACAATATCCACAAAAGTACCAATAATTTTTTCGGTAGCCATGACAGTTTGAAACATCTTAAAATTGTTGTTTTCGGATTTTGAAATATTTGCCACCAAAGAAATTACCAGGTTGAGTCGCGGACTAGGTCGCTCTCTTAAAGACGTTTTGTAGCACTGATCAAAATTATGCAAAGCAGTCAAACTACCGCGCCGCCTCCAGGATAAAACAACTCAGTTCTATATTGTACGATTACTACTTGCATGGTAGATAATCGGTCTAGAAATACACAATCTGATAGTTCATGACC